GAGAGCCACTCGTGGCTAGTGGCTGCTGTGATGGACTGCAGAGTAACATTTCCATCACCACAGAAAGTTCTAAGAATAGCACTGCTCTGAACAGAAGGCTAGATGTTCTAAGAAGTCCAGGGAGTCTGCTCCTGCCTCCCAGTTCATCCTGGACTTCTCTTCCGTTTGAAATGTTGACAACAACTTGAAAGAAAAAAATATATACTGTGAATACCATATACAACTTTGCTGTAACAGGAACACATCCTGGCTTTTAGTATGGGAACTTAGAACGAGATTTTTCTATTCTGTTTCCTTCTGTAGCTATTACTCTGGGAAGGGAGGGTAAACTGCTGAGGGACATTTCTAAATCAGCAATTTCCTTACTCAGCTACTTACCCCAGTAGTACTATAAATATAGCCAGCTGTTGAGAAGTAATTAATACCAAGCCTTTGAATTTCTGAGCGATCATTAGTCCTATTCATCTTGACCAATCAAGACCTGGTGTGTCTCAAATGTATATGGAGATGATAAAAATCTCCACAGACGTTATGAGCTTCTCAAAACACTTCTCTGTCATTCTGCATTTCAGAGATTACTCAGTATTATTCATTTGCTTACAATCAGTCCATACTGATGTATAAGTCATTTCCATGGTACTTCAGCTCTATATGGTATTTCTTTACAGGTCAGGGGCTTTAAAAAACTCTCTTTATGGACTCTGTTCCAATTATAGATCCTGCTGCAGTCACTAGAGGTACTCAGCACCCAAGAATGGGCCACACCAATTTTGCGTGATGGACACATGAACTCCCTGAAGGAGGGGCGTTGGGTTCTAAGTTTTAGATGAACTGTTTCCTAGCTGAATTTAAATGCTCATCAATTACTATATATATTTTTTCAGATTTATGAAATCATAAGAAGTGAAGTTTTCTCCAATTAACCCCATACAATATGAACATCTGTCTTTCTAGATCTGGTTAGTACTCTCTAATGTGTTGAGTTATAACTGTTTCTCAATTTTGTGAGTTGTCTGAGTGTGTGCATTTTTATTTCTTGAACAAAATGACAGTTGTCTTTAGGACAGGATTCCCATGTCGTCACTGAAGTTACTTTGTGGACTGCCCTCCACAAAGCCTGTATATAAACACTGCACTGACCAGCACCTTCTCTCAGTTGTCTGGCTAAAGCCAAGCTGCTGGCTTTCCGAGTACTCCAGCACTTCAATACAGGTANGCCATTGGACGGCCGCTCACGGTGGCTCATGGCAGCTCACACTGGCTGCCAGCCACTCATACTAGCTCACAGCAGTCCATGCAGCAGGGGCTGCAGCCTACGCCATTGCCAGCAACTCACAGCAGCCCAGCTCCAGGTTGAGCTGTTATTCACCTCCTTAGTTGTGGAGGATGCAGTCACTGGCCCTCATATGTGGGATCCGAACCCAGGCCCCGCTGCTCAGAGCTGGCGTCCCAAGCCAGCTCTTAACCAATGCGCCACTTGGCCCGCCCCTAAAGGTAGGACTTTTAACTGCATGCTTTACATGCTATATTCTCAAGATAAAACCAAACTTACTCTTATTGTACAATTCAGCAATCATACTCCTTGGTATTTACCCAAAGGAGTTGGAAACTTATGTCCACATAAAAACCTGTACATGGATGTTTACAGCAGCTTATCATTGCCAAAACCTGAAAGCTACCAAGATGCCCTTCAGTAGGTGCACGGATAACTAAACTATGGTAGATAATGGAATACTATTCAGTGCTAAAAAGAAATGAGCTATCTAGCCATGAAAAGACATAGAGGAACCTCATATAGTATTACTAAGTGAAAGAAGCCAATCTAAAAAGGCTACATATTATATGATTCCAACGATATATTCTGGAAAAGGCAAAACTAGAGAGACAGTAGAAAACTCAGTGGTTGTCAGGGGTGATGGAGGAGGGGAAAGGCATCAACAGGCAGAGCACACAGGACTTCAGGGCAGTGGAAGTATTCTGCAGGACACAACAATGATGGAAACACGTCATTATACATTTGTCCAGTCCACAGAATGTACCACCAAGAGTGAACCCTCCTGGGAACTACGGACTCTGGTTGATAATGGCATGTCAATGTAGGGTCATTGGTTGTAATAACTGTCCCACTTTGATAGGGGATGATGATAATGGGGGAGGCTGTGCATGTGTGGGGACAAGGGGGTACACGGGGAATCTGCACACCTTCCTCTCAGTTTTGCTGGGAACTGAAAACTGCTCTAAAAAGTAAAGCCTGTTAAACAGCAAAACAAAGCAAAAAACCCTACTGGAATTGGAACTGCATGTTAGCATGCTCAGTGGGAACCTAGCACCACCGCGTGCAGAGCTGCATGACAGCCAGATTTCTTACAAGAATTCTGAGAGTTCAATAAAGCTCTAGTAAAGCAGTAATTATAATTTTTTAATACAAAAGTTTAATAATTTTCATAACTTACAAGCTTCTAGTAGGCCGCCCTAATTTATATTAAAAATGAAAGTCTGGATTTGCATATCATTTGTCCTTAAGACAAGCTGTTTTGAATCAGTCTGTGTTCCCTTAGGAGGCCTCTCTCAACCCACTGCAGGAAGTGAACCATATTTTTTCGACATATTGATCTTGGATAGCAACTCGGCTTAGTAATCACATGATTCGGCTTTTGATCTCACTTTTGTTACTGAAACGGGTGTTTGATCTGGAACATGTCAGTGTCACTGTATCTTGCAATAAAACAGGGATTATAACGGCTGTTCCTTAACTACAACATAGGAATCATGTGAGAATTGACTAAATGACAGAACTAAGATTTATTGCTGAGAGAAAAGGAAATGAACTAAAAAGTTCTTATGCTGACGCACACAGAATTAATGCACCAGGACGGCTAGATAAAAATCCTCACAAAAGAGCCGTGATTACCGGGTGATGCAGTCTTCCGCCTGCTTCTCGCTGTTCATCCTGTGATACACCACAGCAGCCACGGCCAGTGGGCCTGCATCCCCGCACAGGAAGGTGATGGAACGCTTGGACAAGCAGCTCAGGGCTTGCTTTACGTAGGCATGCGCCATCTGCAGGTAGGCAGGGTCTCCGAACACATCATGGAGGTGTAAGTAAAGCACAGCAATTCCTGAAAAGGAAAAAGAATGTAAAACTGAGAAAAGGGCGGCTGACTGTTATTCTGATGTGCTGTCTACTCAGCCACACTGATTTCTGAGAAGCCCCAACAAATAGGGAAACTATCTGGAGGTTCAGCTGACCTTTGTTCTAGACTCAGCTTCCCTACCAAGCTGCTCTAAGAACTAGACACTTGTCCTTAGTTTCCTCATCATTACAACTCTTAAATCATAGGACCGCGGAGACCCACTAAGAACCCTAAACTCGTTTATTATTAATCTTTGTGGCACTCTGGCTATTGCGTTAATGTGTTCTTCTTGATGGTTAAATGACAGGTCGTAAAACCATGGTTCTAAATAGTCACTTGTTTATTTAACAAATAATAGGTTACTTAATTAATAATAAACAAGAAATGTTTGTTCTTGTGAGCTAAAGAAATTCAATGACTAGAGAATGTAAAATTCATTTCTCTTCATATAGAAGGTAATTTTTCACGTAATAAAGAAGGTAGAGGAACGAAATCCCCTACCCCAGTATCATTCCTGGCACAGATTATAAGAAAACCATTAAGTTATTTGAGATCTGAGAGAACAGATTCAATTCTGCCTTAATTTTTTTTTTTTTTGTCAAGAACGCGGCCACTTTAGGAACTATACTGTAAAAGCTGCCAATGACTTCTGCTTTGGGCCTTATTCCAGTTGCTTCTTATCCTACTCCTGAAGCCTGAATATGTCACTGAGGCGTTGTCTGCATGTTTTTATTCCAAATACCTGTCACAGGAGACACAGCCTGCCGTCTGAAGCCGCCTGGTCTCAGGGCAAACTCAAAGACGTGGAGCCGGGAGCTTGCCTGCAACGTTTTCAGAAACTCATTTCTCCCCTTAAAGTACATTTTCCATCTCATTTACCATTTTAGAAGATACAGAGCCTCTGTTTAAATCTAAATTAATAGAGCCAATCTCTTCATGGATTTCAGTGCAGTAAAAATGCAGTCTGCAAAATTACCTTTCACTGTACTGAGGACAATTTTAAATTTAGAGAGTTTTCTCATTTTGCATGGGTAATCTCCAAAGCTTTGTGCTACAGACAATTCAATTTCACATGTATATTAAGACCAAATTTTCATTTTCTGCCAAAGTTAATAATGCTATCTGCTCTTTCAAAGTGGCTTGGTTTTAGTAATTCCACAAGCTGATGATGAGATGTACCAATGTTTAAGGTTTGTAGACCTAAGTGTATAAAACCACATATGTGGGTATGAAAAAAAAATCTCCTTTTCACAAATAATCAATGTCAAGAGCTTCTTCTAGAATTAGGTCCTTAATAGGCTTCATCTCCATCCATATCTGG